ACGCGCGTGGAGAAATGTCGGCTTGTTTCGCCGACGTAACAAGCATTACAGCTTGCACAAGAAAATTTGTACACTATGCGCGTACGGAGCCTGTCAGGGAGAGGATCTTTCACGTTGAACAAGTTCTTAATTTTACAGGTAGAATAAACAAATTTGATGTCGATGGGTTTGCAGAATCGATTGATTAGTTTGCGCACCCTTTGTTGTGCAACACCCGAAAAATGCCCGATGTAGGGGATCTTGAAATAGTGCGTGGGCAACTCCTGTTTCTCGACACCTGTTGAAGGTCGTGTGTCGTTCCCTACTACTGCTCTCGTGACATAACGGTGGAGTAACGCGTCTAGTACATGAACGGGATAGAGATTTTTACGCAAAATAGTAAACAAATTCTGAATATCATTGTGAAAACCCAACCACGTGTTGTTGATCTTAAAGGTCCTGTCAAGGAGCGTTTTAACCAGCCCCATTTTGTAGCAAACGGGTGTAAAGCTTAAAAAATTGGCAAGCCCGTGAAAGTCTTTTTGCGGTATACGATGGTGACAGGGAATTGTGGGGATTTGTTGTTTAATAGCACATCAAGAAAAGGAAGAACCTGGTTACTCTCCCTCTCCATAGTGAAATGAATATTGGGATGTTGATTGTTAATGAAATTAAAGAAAAGGTCAGCATCCCGTTCCGAGTTGAAAAGGCAGAAAGTGTCGTCCACATAACGACGGTAGAATAAAACCTGGGAATCCCTGTACTGTTCCAACCAGATCTTCTCGTGGTGACCCATGAAAAGATTAACAAGAACGGGGGCTAGGGGGGAACCCATGGCTACACCATCAACCTGATCGTAGTATGTGCCCTTGAAAATGAAATGGGTTTCAGCGGTGGCAAATAGGAAAAGTCTTTTCAGGTCAGAAGTGCTTAGTTTGATGCCAGGGTTGCCTTTGGTAATGTAGTCGACCGCTAGGTCTATACATTCACTCAAAGGAATGTTGGTAAACAAACTTTCCGCATCAAACGAAACCATAAACTTCCCCTCCATTGACAAGCCGTTAATTTCACGAACAAAAGTGAACGTGTCTGAAGCAACATATTCAGAGGGAATGTGCGGCTGGAGAAGATTACTCAAAAATTTGGCCAGGTTGTAATTGTATGTCCCAATGGAAGAGAAAATCGGACGAAAAGGAGGTGCAGAGTTGGCTGCCCGCGGTTTGTGCATCTTGGGTAGGCCGTATATCCTAGCAGGTTGTGACCCACTCGGATATATAGCATCATATACCTCTTGATCTAAATGGCCCTTTAATCTTTAAATCCCTGAGAAAACGCTGTAATTTCCCTTCCCGATTTAGGGTGGGGTCATTGCTAAGGGGTTTAAACTTAAATATATCATTGATTATTTTTAAAATACCTCTATCATACGCAGTTCTATCTAAAACTACTATGACGGTTCCTTTGTCTGGTTGCAAAATTACAATGTCCTTGTTCTTTCGTAAGTTTTTGAGAATTCCGTGCGTTTTGAGGTCAGCCGTTGTGGGACGATATGCGGAGACGTAAGTGTGAGTCAGGTGAGACAGTTCCGTAACTAGTTTTCCAGTGTCCTTGCTGTCTTTGAGATTTCTGATCATTCTTTGACTACTCAGTTCAAAGCACGTGAAGATGTCAGTCTTGTTAATCGATGGTGGACAAATTGAGTGTGTCAGTCCAAATTTGCGGTGAGAACAAACGAAGACAGGTTTGTAACAACTTCGCTTGAAGTGAAAGGCAGAACAGAATTCCTTGTGAGGTTTTTTAGCTTCTTCTCGTGAGTCTTGATGAACTGATTTGCCGCTTTAGCTACACTGTGAGCAACAGCCTTACGTAATATGTAGCTATCCAGACTGTTTAAGACGCTGGAGATTCTGGTCATCAAGTTGT